ACGCCCAATTGCTTCGCTATAATTTTTTCGCGAGGGCAAAGTCGATGAAATCCTGCAAAAATCGTATAATTTATGTTGTATTTTTATGCACTCTCTCCTCTTTATATCTCCATCATCAAAGCGTAATCCATTAACTGGATCGTAAAATAACTAGTGAGGTGGGACTGACTGCAATTACACGAGGAATGGGCTCATTCGTAGTTTTCTATGGGATTAGTTAAGCTCTAAATTACCAAAAAGGAAATCTGATGATTATATCAGTCACTAAAAATTTCTAATAATGATACATTTTCATCAACGCATCGTCCAATCGACCAATACAGTACCTTCACAATGTATTTTATAAGTTGGGGGTGAAAATCGCCCTGCTGTCACATACACTGCACCGATGTTAGGAACGTCGTTAAGAAGATTTGTAACTACGTTTTTAGCAACAAAAGGCAATTTCTTAAATGTGTAGCTATGAATTATATCACGTTGTAGTTCTCCACGGAAAAAACCCGTAATCCTTTTCTTGATTTTAATTAAAATTCTTAATTGTAGAGCACGTACACACAACATTAACTGCAACACGCGCAAAAAATGTGTCATGGCATTCATTTACCATCTTAACAATCGCAAGCATTGCGAAAATTTCCATTTTCCCTTTTGTGTAACGTGTCCGTCCATTTTTACATGGAAACGTTAATGACAGCATCCCGCTCGGACACAAAAGTACTCTTTTTTTATTGTGGAATGGGTGATATAGAGCGGAAATTGAAAACATCTCACGTAATAGTTGGGTCGCTTTCAACTGAAAAAACTGATGAAAACTACCGAACCATCTATAATCTAGAATGACTTGCAGTTGATGGTTGTGAATACAAATCTTCTAGGTTTTCACTAATTTAAAAAAGTCTTCAATCTGAATTAATATCGTCGGTTTACGGTCTTTCCCTTCCCTACAAAATCTCACAAATGGGTTATTAAGGTTTTGACAGTCGTCATCGGGAAAATGATATTTTCTCGAACCAAGTTTCTGTATAAAAAAATTTAAGTGCCGTCTTTTAGAGAAAAGAACGATTGTTTACTTAGACTTTATAATAACCTTAAATATCAAATGGTCGTAAAAAAGGGCTCATGTAAATAACTCGAAAAAAACAAGCTTAATGTATTTGTAAAAGCACATTTAAAAAGGGGAACGACGAAAAGTATTCAAATTCTCAATTTTATGCATGAGAAAGTATTGTATCTTTTACAGCAGGCATTTGAGGAGGGTTTAGATTTTGTGAAAGAAAGGAGCTTGAACAATTTTCTATTACGGCAGAGATTTTTCCTTTGATGCCATCACATGTCCCTATGATCCTAATTATGTTATATAGAATTATGTACGGCGTGCATGTGACATTCCAATAAAAAAAAGCACCCCGAAATTAGAAAGGAAGCGCTTGTAACTCAATAAATTTCCCTAAGCCTAACAAATCCAATGCAATTAGAGATTTGGGAGTTCATCGCTCATAAGACATACTAAGTAGCGCAAACACGATAATATTTCTTGAGCAAACAAATTAAAACTTTCCATTAATTTGCCTGCTAAAATATGCCAGTCTATTTAGGTTAATTGCATAAGAACTAATTATACTTTAAATTACACCCTCAAATAATTGAAACGTAATATGCTGGCGTAATACTTAATCAATACATACTCAAATACATGTGTGCTAAGTTGTCGCACGAATTCAGAAACCAATGAAGTCAACACTGTAGGTACTATAATCTTTCCAATGAATTTTGAGATCCAACGCAAGGTACAGAATTTTTCATTCAGACTGTTTTCGCTTTATTTGCCCCTTTATTAATGCCCCTTTGCTTCATTCCAATTTCAACACTCCTTCAAGGCTTCTTCACAACTCCTTCATCAAACTTTCACGCCTTTAGTACATATTCTTATGTCTTGTTTGTTCTCCTCTCCTTTTCCCTCGTTCACGCTTTTTTTAAGCTCCCTTTCGCCTCTTTAACGTCTCCTTTGTGCATCTTTTACAGCACCTTCGTTTCTCCTCTGCCTCTCTGTGACGTTTTCCTTTCTACGCGACTGACTTTTTCATACTTTCATACCGAATGTGACTCTCATTTTTTCTTCTCCTTATTCCATAACGCTTTCCCGACATCTGTACACCCCTTTCCTTTATACCACGTCCAGTTCACGCCACATCCCTAACAGTCCTTCTACACTCTCAAGCCGTATTTCTAGTTTTTCCGCCACACGTTCTGCTCCTTCGCGTGCTTGTTCTTTACAGATTTTCACATTTCGTTCTGAACATCTCGTTCACACGTTTACTCTTGCTTCACGTTCCTTCCACTCTCTGTCTCCTTCTTTCGCGCCAACTTTGTTTTTTCGTGACGACTGTTTATGTTTAATATTTGCTGCATGTCCATCTGCACCCTTTCACTTCTGCTATACACCTCCTTTACCCTCCATTCCGTCACTTTTTACACCTGCCTTGTCTCTCAGTCTTTTCTTGCGCCCCTTCTTCTTCCCGCCTCTTTCTACGCTCTTCTGATACTTTATGTCTCCTTCTTCCATGCTTCACACTTACCTACTTCATGACCTCTTCCTGCTTGAGTTCATTATTATTGTTTTTTGGACCTCTTTCCTTTATGTCCCTTTTTTTACGCAACTTTCACCCATCCATACGCCTCTTCTCTCTTTTTCAACCCCTTTACAAACTTAACTATTTATTCCCTATTGCTTTATGCTTCATTAACAAAAAATTCTTCTTTATGCCATCTGTACGACTTCTCTATGCCTCATCTCGTAATTTTCCTTGCTTCACATCTTAAGTACTTGCTCTCGTTTCCCCATACGCATTTCTTACTTGCCCTTTCACGTTTTCTGCGCTTCTCTTTTACGGCCTTTACCTAAATTTTACGACTTTTTTCATGTTTTCCTAAACTACACCTGGCGATGCCATCACACATTCACATTTTTATCACGTATCCTAACGCTTCCTTCCAATAACCTGCCCTTCGTTCATGCACTTTTCACACTTTGTTCCGTAACGAACCACTCCCCCTTCAAGACTCCTGTTTCTTTGTCGCGTCGCCTCTTTGTTTCTTTCCGCTTTCTGACTTCTTTACACCTTATTCAGATTACTGAGTACGTATCCTTCTTTAATGTCCCTTTCAAAATTTTTTGCACGTCATCTTCTTCGACGTCTCTTTCCTTCATGCTTCACGTTTCATACTCTTTCTTTCATACTCTTTTGCTTTATTTATGCTTACGTCAGTCCACCGTGATATTAACTCTTCCTTCAATTTTGTATATACATAGCTTCTTTTTTGCTTCCTTCACGACTCTTTGAAATTTCCGGGAGGCATCTTTTACTGCTTCCTTTCTGTGACTCCCTCCCGTCACGCTTCCTTTTACGTCTTATTTGAGCATATTTTTTTCGTTCTTCCTCTACCATTCCTATCGTGACCTTTATATTTCCCAGCGGACGTTTTATAGTCGTTTTGCGACGTATTAGTTCCGCAATACTCGCCTTAATTTGGAGAATGTGGACTCAGTTATTTCATTGGTGTGATTCTCACCTTGCTTTGCATTGGATAAGCGCTCGACCAGTCAAAAGATTCAAACAATCATCATCCATTTTTCACGGTACTTCATTTCCCATTATAATTAGTAGGCATCGACATCTTTCAAACTGAAGGATTGGCGAGGAAGAGGAGCCAAAATATCTCTGTTATATTAATGTGTAGGTACATAATATGCATGAGCACAAAATATGCAATTATATTTATTAAGAAGTACACATAGGGATTTATGTGTATTGCTTTTCCCTATGTCTACTTTTAAATGTATATGCGTTTGTATGCGACGTAATCAACTGAAGAAAAAGTTGATATTATCAATTGGTATAGTGTCGGTAAGAGATTAAGGAGCGTAAGAGATTTATTTTCTGCAACAATATTCATGATTTGTTTTAAAAAGTTATTTTGGATGCATAAAATTAGGCGCCCTTTAGAATAAATTTTGTCGTTTAAAAGTAGACATTGAGAAAACAATAAACATAAATCCCTATATCTAACTGTATACGTTTGGAGCCTGTTTTTGATCTGTTGAAGGAGCAGCAGTTCTGCTCAGTGACATTTCATTCCGCCATACAATTTCCACATGGGAGGACTTTGGGAGGCTGGGGTAAAAATGCAACAACACAATAAATGAATTTTGCTAGAATCTTTAACACGGTGAACTCTCCGAAAAATGAATAATACGTGACAGACTTATTGGCCCTTTTCATGTCTTACTCGCTACCAACTACTGACACTACTGGTACATCACTTTTGCGTACCTTACGCCATCTTGCGGTTTCATTATGCCTTTTCCACTTACACTTCTTTCTTGTCTCCTTCACGCTTCTTTTGCGACAAGGGCACAAAATAACCGTTCAGTTTTCATAGGATCCGTACCTCCTTAATTTACTGTTAAACAAAAATAATCCACTATGCGGAATAACTTCACAATAAGCGCAACTTTGAAAGTTTTTAATCGATTGAGTTTCCCAAATCTCGCGAGGAAAAATTATGTTTCACGGATGTAGTTGCAGCGAAACGAAATTGCGAACAACGTAATTGTATTCGTGTACCTATATAATTTTACGTAGTGAACGCTTAAAGTTCCCCTTGAAGTAAATAAGCAAATATTTTCTCTTAAAAACTTTAACTTTTCAAACAAAGTTTGCAAGTTTTACAGCATAAAGTTCATGGAAGTTTTAACCAAACGAATGTAAAATTTCCACAATTGTATATATTACTCAAACTAAAAGCGCTTTTACAAAAATTTACTGCATGGTTTTCTACTTAAAATTTACTGCGCCCGAATAAACGTATGTTTATAGCTATGTGGATCCCATTACCGGATCTGCCTGCTTAAAACTTTTAAAACCGACCCAACAAAAACTGTGATGGGGAGGTAAACGCTTTAAAATGACGTCATTTATCATACTTTCTTTTTTTTGCAGAATGGTGCTTTACAAACGGCTGTGAATTCGTTCTTGAAAAAACAAGCGGATAGCAACCCTCAGCGATACTCTTGTCTGTAAGTAGCTTTCAATTACAATTACGACACCAATAGCTCAGTAGATTGGTTGGTAAACCTCGGGTAAAACTTGGCTTCTTACATTGAATATAAAATTAGATTATTCAATGGATCTAGTAACCTGTTTACTACATTTTCAGTTAAAGTTTATTTTAATTTGGTTGGCCGTTTTGTTTTATGGTAGACCAATTGAATACTAAAAATTATTATTTTTATTATATTCTTAAGATGGGTAATTCTTAACCACCGTATACAATAGTCAACAAACGTCTCTTACGCGGTTGAAAATACTAGCTATCGTGCTAGAAAGAGATAGCGCGACGTAATCCAATGCAACAATGATCGAGAGTAAGTAAACAGTGAAAATTACTTACTTTCATTTAAATAATGAAACATAAAATTATTAAGAAACGCTATGGGATGGGCGTATAGACGTTGTCCTTATCCATGACTTACAGTCGAGAACAAAAAATTTCTAAAACAATAGACATTTCTAACATAAAGTCAACATTTGCGCAAGCTAAAGCCAGAAAGAAGATTTTTATTTTTATAGCAGATGTTAAATTGACATTTTCCCTCTTAACTGTACATTCTAATATGTCATTCTTGTTAGAAATGAGACGCGGAGCACGAAATAAAATTAAGTTCAAAACATAAATCAATAGTGTTTGCATGGAAAAAACGGGAAGTTTTATAATGATTTATATGGCATCTGTGGCTTCTATTATAAAATAAAGTTTTGTATTATACACGACGATAAAGGGAAATTAACCATCTCGTGAAAGTTAATTCATTCGTGCCGCTCGTGAATTAACATCTTTAACTCGATGGTTAAAACATCCCTCTATATCGTCTATAACTATTATAAATACAGCATTGGTATGTATAATGTATTTTTTTAATTATTTATTGATTAAGCATTATATGCTTTTTAAAGGTTTTACATTGATTGCGTTTTGTTAGTTAGTTAGTTTCCTTTATTGCCAATTCTTAAAAGCAACGTTTTACATAAAACTGAGCGGAATGTTATATTTGCATTAATTTTCAGAAATGTTACTTCTGAAAGTGTCTTTTTTTGTATTCATGTGGGCCCGTGACTGCATTGTTACGCCACTGGATGCATTCTTGCGTTTTATGTTGATCTCATTTATAAAGGAAAATTTTATCCGAATGTGCTATCGAATTATTACTTACCGATATAAAACTATAAAACCTAGCTATTATTATAAACTGTTTCAAGTTCGAAATCCGCGTTAGAAAAACATCCCTGCATTGTAAACAAAAGGTTGACCCACTTGGAATTTGACACGAAATTGTAGCCTAAAATTTTACACTGTTGTATAAAACAGCCAGATTGAATTTGCATACAAAATGGACATAAATCGAATTGTTGGAGTATATTTAATTTCAAGCTGACCGCATCGTTTTAAAGGGTCTGAAGGGTTTATAGTCTTGGTCGGATTTAAGTCTGAAGAGTCGGTGAATTTACACCGAAAACTAAATTACGGTCGCATTAGTTTACTTCTGCATGTTGAGGTAAAACATGTCAGTCATTAACATTTTAATTTCCATTTAAAACGCTGTCAGTTAACAGTTTTCAAAGTCTACGAAAAATTGCTATTCGAAATGGTTCGCTTTTCATCTACATTTTTAAAATATGAAAATGAAACATAATTTTTCATTACTAACATCATGAATAATGTAACGTAACTTTATGATTTTTATTACTCATTTTAAACCGCACTGGAAATTTATTTTACTACCCTGTCTTAAAAGTTATTCGCTTTATAAGCGTATAAGTCTCACCGTGCAAACTTCAGGACGTAGTGAAGATATCCCTTAATAAATTGCAAGGCTTATATTTAAATCCAAATATTAACAATAATCTGTGGTGTATCTAAACTAGGCCGTTAATTTTCTTATTAATGCAGTTAACACTGATATAGTCAAAACTTCTAAATGGGTAGTGCCCTTGTTAGAAAATGCTGTTATTAATTAACCAACTAAAACAAATTATAATCGGAAACTTAAAAATAAACCCTCAATTTATAACTAAAACCAGGCTTGCCACAACAATTCGGAATTCCTTCGCACCGAAACCCACAGGATTTTAGTTTGTTATGCGCCGGCAGAATCGCACGCAAAATAAATCTATTTACACGACGCCTGGTATGAAACTCAAATATTCATGTGAACTAAAGCTGCATCCACACGCTATTAGGCCCAAATTCAAATAACTTTAATGAAATAATAGTTTTCCCTGACATGAAAACTACCCAAAACTGTAATCTAGTAAAACCGATTACTTTGTTTGGAGGTGTTAGATAAGCTTCATTTTATTGCTGAAGGTATTTCGTTATCATCCGGGTGTGGTTTACAAAATCTCCTTTATTGACAAATGGGAGTCAAAGGGTCACTAGATCTAAAAGGGAAACTGTTGTGGATTGCTCTTGGACAGTTGGACAAGTTATTACAGAACCGAAAGAGACTTCCTGATAAACACAACACGCCGGCCTCAAGTATTCATTAGAACAGTCGTATTTCACCAGCGACGGTTGTTTTTTCTTACGTTAGATAATGGAAACCATAAATTTCGGAAGCGGGTGTTGTAGACAATGACTGGCTACCCATCCTGCGAAAAGGCTATAAACATATCGAACACTGATATTTTGGAGGTAAGGTATTCAGTTTTGCAGGGTTAACAATGGTTGATAAAATATTGTTTCGTATATAATTTATTGATGCCGCTTTGTTGGGAAGCTTACAGCAATACTTTGTGGTTGTGTGTCTGTGATAACATTCAAGAGCGTCTGTATTTCCGAAACTATTTAGAAATCGATTATGAAGCGTAACGACGAAGCACTTTAAGAAAGTTACAGTTGGGCCAATATGAACTCGCTTTCATTACAGCCGCCTATATATTACTATTATGGATATGTTCTGTAACTCGATTTAGATTTAGACCGTGAGCTTTTATACTCCTGCGTTTCTCATTTACATTTGAAAACATAAATTTTTGCCTTAATCTCATGAAATTCCTAACACATCTTTTCTTTAGCGCGTCAGCATTTATTTAAGATCTTCTCAACGTTTAGTCTGCTTTAGCTGTAAAACCTCAATTTTTAAATTTGTACCCAATGTTATATTCAAAATCATTCAATATCTCGGAAAATATTGAAGTTAAAAACAAAAATGTACAATCAAGAGAATGGTGTTATATAAGAAATGATATTTCACCCCCATTTACGAGAAAAAAACGAATGGGGTTTTCACCCACAAAAAAAATAGAAAGTTGAAAAGACAAATCTGTTACTAAAATCCATGCGATAATCTTGACCAGATCTTTGATTTCCGCCCAAAAAAAGAAATAATTTTACGTAAAACCCATGTATGTAATTAGGTGATAAATTAGCCCTCTTGGGAGCATTTTTAGGCCTGTAGAATAAAACCAGACGAATCGGAATTCAATCCATTATGACTATCCCAAGTTTTCCCCTTCGCCGGAGTTGCGCTTAAGTGGAGGGTAAACATGTATACCTACAAAAAGAGTATTTTTGCGGTATTACGGTTCTTGTAGGTAAATGACTGTCAATATCGAAATGAGACCAAAACGCATATTTTTTTGACCATTTGTTCCCATACCTACTATAGTAGTGCTCGTCGAAGTTGAACAAATTTTTACATTATCTATTATATTTACACTACTTATATTAAACGTAGTACGATAGCACTCATTTTTACTACTATTGAAACACAATTCTTGAACAATAAGTGATGATATGTTCTGACCGTAAAGAGAAGGACAAAATTCGTAAAATAATCACAAACCCTACATGAAGGAATGCACACAAAGAACATCGGTACGGCAAAGTGACAGATCAAAGAATGCGCCAGGGACCCTCAATCGTATTATGCAGTGGTCGCACAACAAAACTGTTTGAGTGTTAGTTTTTTAATTATAAATTAAAAATTTACCCAAATAAAAACTTAGCTCTGGACCGAACTTTATTGTATTTTAGTTCGTTGTTCGCAGTTAAGTTTTGTATAACTTGCCCGAAAAATAGAATCTTTGACCTGCGGTGACCTTAGAGCTTTTTGCGGGGTTGAAAATCCGAAAAAAAGTATACTTTGGAAATACGGTTAAAGATACCGTAGCTCAAAACCGAAAGTCGTAGAAAACCTCTCTAACCTTATCCCTACTATCTTGTGATTTAATTAACGTCCCTAACGCCTTTGTAGGGTAAAAATTCAATTAAAATTGTTTTATAGAAAAGTAACAAAATTGGGCATTTTTAATTAATCCCGTCATTTTATTGATACGAAAATAATCGTGCAAGTGAAAGATATCTGTTTTAAAATGAAAATTGCTCATTATATTTAAAAAAGGTCATTATTTTGATGAGTTTGATTAAATTTCATCGGGTAGTTTTCTCTTAGTAAACTTCTAAATTTTGGTTTTCAAACCACCTTTGGAAAAATTTTGTTACACATAAGCAATCTAGAATGAAAGAGACTCGGTTAGTCTACACACTTTTGCGCAACTGCAGTATCATATCAAAAGGATTTGCATTGTTTGCTTATGCACTTTCTATCGCATTCACTACACAATTCACAAAGACCGCGCTTGCAATTTATTGTAATAATGGCTGATGAATACTGATTTCCTTCCACGCCTGTAACTTCTTTTGCACTTTCCTCATTCAATTTAGAATTTAGAGCTGTAATCAAGGCAAATCTCTGTGCGAATCAATTTTCATTTTCTTACATTGAAACAACAGCACTATTTCGCTGACAGATTTTTTAATTACAATAAAAGAATATTTATTTGTAACTGTGAGGGTATTAAAGTTTCTTGAATTTTTGTCCTTTTTTTTCTACCAGTGTCTTTCGCAATTTATTTCCGATAATTTCTTGCCTGTATAGCGCGTATTACGTTTTATCTACGTCCTCGCGTGAGCCATTATTATCAAATACGCCTTGGGGACCCACAATACATGCAA